GTGTGTGTGTGTGTTCATTCATTTGTCTCTGTTGGGTTGGGTCTCTTGGCTGAGTGTCTAACCATGTGGAAATGATTATTAGCCCTAACTCTTTTTAAGAGACATCGGGGAGAGAGAGAGAAAACAGAGAGCAGCGGACATTAAAAAAAAGAAAACAAGTGAAAGGTGGATCCCTGCGATGGTGTGCTGAAAGCTGGAGAGAAATTAATTTGAAAACATTGTGGGATTGTGGGATGTAGAGTATTTCTTTTTCATGGCTCTTGTTACTCTGAGGCAGGTCTGAGCGAGTGGTGGAGAGATGGAGTGAATAAGGTAATTGAGAACAAGGGAAGAGGAGTGAATTGTTGGCTGGTATTTAGGTAGGAAGCGACAGATGCAGAGAGAAATAGGAGAAAAATTAGGTACTTGGCAGAACAGTGTGCTGTAATGTTAATCCTGCAGGCTGGTGCACGGTGGACTGAACTCTGCACAACTACATTCCTCTTTTTCTCCCTCCTCATCCTCTTCTCCCTCCATCACAGGGCACTTTGTGGAGCACTAATGTGTTGATATCATCTCGCGGTTTCCGGCTGCATGATCTCACCCTCCGAGGAGAGAACGGGATTAATTAAAATACTAGCGCCACTGTCAGTGTCACTGAGTTGATGTGATTTGTTTTGGTAGTCTGAGCAGCAGCTTTCATTTTGAGAGAAGCCCCGAAGTGGTCAGAGCATGGTTGTGGCCTGGCGTCTGTTCCAAAGCTCCTCATACAAGAGATGATCTGACGTCACAAGACACACAGCCAACTTTGTGGTCTTTATGTGGCCAATGTGTGGTGGTAGTGTGGACTTTTCTTCTCAGGCTGGATTGAGGAAGGTCACACTGAGTGAAAATCTCTCATTGGTGCATGTGTGTGGTCATGGCCAGCCTGAGGAGTCGTGTGTAAAGATTGGTCCTGACGTTCTACACCCGATCTTGTTGTGAGGTTTGAAGAATGTGGAAGAGCTAGTAATTTTCTACTCTTTCATCTCTTTTCCTCTCTTCGTGTGCTCTCTGTATTTTCCATCTGTCTGCAGTCTTGCCCATGGTATTCCTTTGACCATAGCCAAGTCTGTTTTTTTTCTCTTTCAGCCAACATTGCTCTATTTATGTGTGAATATTTGGCTGCTGTGGAATCCAATATGCATGGTGTTAGACGATGGTCGGACTGTTTCTACTGAATTCTCAGTTGTTGTACCTCTGTGTGCTGCCGGCACTGTGGGTTTTTGATGTAGTCTTGTTGTGGGTGTTTGTATCTCTGCATGTGAATTTGGGTATGGGGCTGGGATTTATTGAACTTTTCAGTTTTTAAAAATAACATATTTAGGCAGGGTTTGTGTTTTTTCTAATTTTCTTATTAAACATTAATATGTCTCTGTTTCTCTCAGGTTGAGTACTGGAGAGGGGGATGGAGCGTGGTGTCCTGCTGGAGCCGTTTACCCCAGTGGATCAGAATACCTACAGGTCAGATAACATTTAATTGCTGTCAACTGTTATATTATTATTATGAAGCAGACTGGAGAGACTGCATTACAATAGTAATGCATTTATTCAATCATGCTTTAATAACAGCTTTAATCCACCCACGTCCACTCTGCTTTAGAGTGATTTTAGAGCAGCTATGATGTATGCCACTATTGTACATAGAGTTTATTTTGGGAAATACATTTATTTGCTTTCTTGCTCAATTAGATAAGGGGATTGATACCACTGTCATATCTGTCCATATGAAGCTAGAACCAGAAGGCGGTTAGAAGAAACAGGCAAAACCTATCAGCACTTCCAAAGCTTAATAATTAAAACTGTATATCTTGTTTAAGTCAACAGAAAGTGGGGGGAAAAAATCATTTTGTGGTTCTATATGTTTTCTACCTTTTAAACAGAACTAGGATGGCTGTTTCTCTTTTTCTAGTCTTTGTGCTAAGCTAAGCTAATCGCTGTTGGCTTTAGATTTACATTTAATGGACAGGTAGCAGAGTTGTATGGATCTTCTCATCTAACTCTCTGCAAGAAGGTGAATAAGCATATTTACCAAAATGCAAACTTAAACCTTTTAAATCTACATTTAAAAAGACATTTAGCCGTGTATATATAAGTTCATCAATCTTATTACTTTTTCTCTGTGTCAGTCTGTTATCTGTTAATGTATTTCCTGTCTCCTGCAGGTAGACCTGCACAAACTCCACTTCCTGGCTCTGGTTGGTACCCAGGGTCGTCATGCCGACGGGCACGGCCAGGAGTTTGCTCGCAGTTATCGACTGCGCTATTCCCGCGACGGACAGAAATGGATCACCTGGAAGGACCGCTGGAGCCAGGAAGTAAGCAGGGTCTTTTTGTCTCGTTAATTACGACAGAGCTGGAGCCCACTGTTTCTTTAATGTGCACATGAATAAAGGAAGGTAAAAGTTTGAATGTCTTAAAATGAGCTTGGGGGCAAATGGACACAAGGGAACATACAGTTGAGGTTGACTCTCCATTATTGATAAGAAACAGCTCAATATCCTGTGGCTGTTTAATATGAATGTCATGTTAATGGACTGTATTATTCACCTGCATTTGATTTATGTATTATTTATCTGGAAGTGGAGCAGTTTGGCTTTGCTCCAGCTAAACTTTGTGCAATAACTTTTCTGTTCAGGCAAAAGCAGCCTTTACTGCTTCAGATTTCAACACTATGCAATAAATGGCTTACCTTGCAACCTTGCAACCTGTGCAAAAAAACACCTCTTATTGTGTTTGGTAAATGTCCACTATTTTCTTTGGTTAGAAATCTGCACTGTGTTTTGTGCCACTGCTGCATGATAGCATTTTCCTGGGTGCAGACATTTGACATCCGCCCACTACACTGTAATGATGTGACAGTTCTGTCTGAATTTGACAACAACCAAGGTTTTGGGGAAGGAATTGACTTTTTGTTATTTTATTATTTTAGAGCATTGCCAAACAAGTATTCAGAAATTGCAAGCCAATGTAAATCTAGGGTTCAAGGCTCCACCAACAAAAACTCTGCCTGAGGCTCAGACTCTAAAATCAGTCTTTCCTTACACCTTTGTGTGTTAAAGAAAAAGTTCAGTCGGTTTTTTTGAGCTCCTCTTAGATTAATAGAATTTGAAGACACCCACGAAGTCGACGGCGAGTAAAACGTGTATTAAATAAATGTTACTCTCTCCCTTAGGTGGTGTCAGGGAATGAGAACACCTATGATGTTGTGCTGAAAGACCTGGGTCCTCCCATTGTGGCCCGCATGGTGCGCTTCTACCCTCTGGCTGACCGGGTTATGAGTGTGTGCCTTCGAGTAGAGCTCTATGGTTGCGTTTGGAACGGTGAGTGTTTGTGTGGAGAGACTGCAGAGATACAAAATGGCCTTGTTTTTTGTGTTAACTTAGGTATTCATTTGGTCTGTATATTCTGAGGCATGCCATCCAGACTGTGATAAATCAGATCACATTTCATATGGGAAAGGTGACAGATTTCTTAGTTTTACTCCTGTATCAGATGGAAAAGGGAGGATTTGTTGGATTGTAATGATTATAAGTGGGTTTTCACCATACATCCCATGCATTAATTTGTGGCATTGCATTAAATTTACAATCTCAGTGGGGTTTGCCCGGATAAAAGAAGCCACATAGTGATAAATGGTATTGGTCTCCGTGTTTCCCGAAGCACAACACTGACTAACTGAGTATTTATGACTGGCTCACCTCCTCCCCTGCCCCATCCAACTCCCTCAGACTGCATCATGCTGCCTGTAAATCAGAGCTGTCACTGAGCCTAAAAGCTCCAGTTCCTGGTCTGTGTCTTCAGGGAGACCATCTTTCTAAAATATGCTGTAATATGGATTCTGAGGCTGTGCAGCTCAGTTCGTCTACAAAGCCAAAGATTATAAAGAATCTTCAGAATGTCAAGTTTTACGCACGTTCGGCCGGTCAAACATTGAGTTCGGCCTTCATGCTCTCTCACACACATGTAAAACATAGCATACTGCACACATACTGTAAACCCTATGTGAAGCATTGTTTATTACGGGTGGCAGAGCATTGGGCTTTAGTCCGTGTTGCTGACGTCACCTCTGTTCTCAGGGAGCGGGCTGATTAGCTGTATATTGGAGCGGAGGCTTGAGTTTCACCGGTGTAATGGTGACTGGGGCCGAGCAGTGGCCTGCTTCGTTTGTTTTACTACTTAAAAACCATCTGTAGCCGTTCCCCCCTGCGGCAGTGATTATTGTTGAATGTTTGCTCAATAAACGTGTAGCTGCTCATAATGAAAATAATAAGCTCCACAAATTTAAAAAAGTTTCACTTGCAGCTTGTGCATGTCTCATATATAGAAAACCGTGTTTTGTTTTTAACAATCACATGACTAATACTGGATATCTTTTTTCATTCCTCTCAGATGGGTTGAAGGCTTACACAGCTCCAGTGGGTCATGTCATGCACCTGTCTGGCATGCCTGTCTATCTAAATGACTCTACCTATGATGGGAGCATCGAGCAAGGGTAAGATATACAGCCGCTTTTACCATTTTCATTTTTTATGTATGAGTAAGGATCTCATCTCCATACATTCCCATACGCTGCTCCCTTGGATTTTGTCTTCACGTGGCCGTGGCTGTAAATTGCAGCCCTGCTTTGGCAGATATGATCACAATAAAGATTTACAAGAGTTGCGGTCAAAAATGTGGAGTAAAATGTGGGTCGATCAATGGAATACCAGAAGTTTCTCCACAGCGCTCATCACATCTGTTAGCACTGAAGTGGGGTCTCAGCCAAATCCTTTTTGAAAGTTTGTCCACCTAATCGAAAGGGAATAACATAATTTTTTTTCTTCGCTCTGGGATTTGAGGCGTGTTTCCTGACCGTAATATTTTGGCAGGGAGCAAACGAGGGGTGAACTACGATTCTTGGGGAGTGGGGAGTGTAGGTTAGGGTTGGGTTTTGGGTGGGGGTCTACACTTGCATAGTCTTTGTGGTTAATGGGGCTGAAATGTTTTGTTAGCGGGTGAGCTAAAACTTTTGATGTAATCCAGATGTGATGGTGTGTGTGTGTGTGTGTGTGTGTGTGTGTGAGAGAGACCCACAAGGTTGGGAGTGAGGGGGCTCTATTTGGTGTGACCTTGTTGTGTTGCTTTGTTTCTGTTGAGGTATGTGTTTGTATGTGAAAGTTTCACCATGTTTGCATTTGTATCTATGTATATATGCTTATTTATTCATCCCTGCATGCCAGTACATGAATATATTTGTAAATAGAAAGTGACAGGCAGTGCAAAGCATCCAGCAATGTTCCTGTACTGAGGAGTTAGATGTTAAACCATGTGTGTGTGTGTGTGTGTGTATTCCCATCAAAATGCTGCTGCTAGATCTGGTGAGACGGATAGAATTAACAAAAGTATTGTCTGTTATAAAACACACACACACGACACCACACACCACACACTCATCATACCATCACTTCTATTAAACAAACACACACCACACCACAGAACACCACCACATCCAAAAAAACCAGACACCACACACAACACACACAACACCACAGGGAAACCAACACATAAACCATCACACACCTATTCACTTACAACACAGACACACACACACACTACACACACACACACAATACCACACACAACACACACACACACCAACTGGAGCTTTGTTTTATGAGGAATTCTCTGAAGCCTAGGATCTGTTGCAGTCGGAAAATTTCGATCAGAGAGAGTTTTTCAATCACGATGCAAAAGGACAAAAATCCAGCGCCTACCATGTCCTACTTACCTCACTCAAACATTACATGCGTCTGTTTTCGCCTGCTAATCCGAGACCACATTCAACTAACCAATGCATTAATTACAAGATCAGATCTTTGTCTGCTTGTCTTCCACACTATACGCACAGGGAATAATTTTACAGGAATTGTCCTCCATTTTTAAAACATTAGCGACTAACTTAACTTTGAAAAGTTAAAGCTTAAATACCACCTCCTACTCTTTTACCATTAAAATATTAGACTTCTTATCGCATCCACAGAGTGCTCCAAAATCTAATAGCATCATCTCCTTCCTAAAGGCAGAATAGGACACGCATCAAGAAGTTGCTATTGTGCTTTTATATTAGTTTTTGGCATTCTTGCCTTCACTGGCATAGCAACTTGTCATATGATCTACACCGCGCCAGCACAAACATGGGGGAAGGACGGCTCGGCTCACTACTCCCTGCAACACACGGATCCTAGGCGGGAATCGCACATCAAAGGATGATTGCACCTATACAGCACGACACGTTGCATCCTTAACCACATAGTCACAGGCACACCTGTTGTACTGTCTGAGTGATTCCATTCGGAATAACAATGTCTTGCCATACAACACACACAAAACACAAGGAGTCGCCCGTGTTCTCTCACGCTCTTATACAGGCAGATGAGAGACTGGAGCTGCCGCATAACCCTGACATTCTGTAGACTTGCCTGTATATTCTGGCTTTCTCGGCACGAATTGAGTTGCAGTGCCTCATGATTCCATCAGACACATATCTTATTACCAGATGGTTCCCTAAAAGACACAAGACCGGGCGCTGAGCTTTTAGCCTGATGGTCTCTGATTCTACCGCAGCACATACTGTGAGATTCAGTTGGGTAAACAATGCCTGTGTATGCGCGTCTCACCCGTTCTTTCCACAAACAAAATTCACCATGCAACAAACCACCTCAATTTCACTTGCCTACCTGCCTTTGTCGCCAAACACCACTGGGTTTCCTCAACAGCGTGGAACTCATTATCCCACCGTGAACCCTTGACCAAGAGGCCTCCCCCCGCTCCAGCCAGTCAGTCATGACCCAGGCCACACCTCAGCTCCTTAGCTTTGTATGCAAGCTATCTCCTCCCCAGGACGCGCGTCACACCCTAGCTGACCCATTGGCCCCAAAATGCCGGCCTCTACTTCACACACACACACACACACCACACACCACACACCACACACACACACCACCCAAACACAACACACCACACCCACACCTACCAACTGTGGTGTGTGTTGAGATGAGACCACAAGGTTGGGAGTGAGGGGCGTCTGGATTGTGGGTGTGAGCCTGTGTGTGTTGTGTTGCTTGTTTCTGTGAGTATGTGTGTTGGATGTGAAGCTTTCACATGGTCTTGCATTTGTATCTATGGTGATATATGTTATTGATTCATCGCTGCGATGCCGAGTACATGGAAGTGGTGTATATGGGAGGAATAGAAGTGACAGGCGAGGAAGCATGCCAGCGTATGTTCCTGTACTGAGGAGTTAGATGAAGGACGAGTGGTGGGCGTGTGTGTTGTGATGTGTGTGTGTGGTGTGT